CTGCATACTTGAGAACAATACTCCAAAGCAGGTCACTGTCGTCTGAATCATCATATGCAGAGACTCAGACTGTCGGATGACAGTGTGTGTCGCCTCTGTTTGGAAAATGATGAAACAGCAGAGCATATATTCTTGTGCCTGCTCCGCTGTGGACCGAATCAAGTTTTCAGAGTTTCATTAGCACCACACTTCTACCACCGTTTAGAAGTAAACACAAGTAAATTCACTCCCGGTGGGCGTCTTTGATTTATCGGGTCGAGATTTTATTTTTTGCTGGCGTGTAGCGGTGCAGGAGGGTGTAGGCTATGGGGCTATTGTGCACCTCTACACAAGATTCGAACATAAAATACGTGACCATGATCTGACTTCATCATTGCTTCGAGAAGCGCACAATAAATATCTGATATGATTGTAAACTGTTTAGGAATTTATGAAAAATAAGACAAGGTGGTAAAATAAACATATATTTTGTAAAGTAAGATTATACAATTTAGGTCAAAAACTTATACTAATCTATTCTTAAGGTTTTTCAGAATGAAGAGTTTTTGATTTTTTTAACATTTGTTTTCAAATTTCTATTGTCAAATTTTAAAGTATAATAAATTCTTACCCTTGTGAAAAGAGAAAATAAATAATCCAAAGGAAAATGAACTTAATAGAACTGGCCGATACCTGATGAAAATCCATATTAAAACTAATAAATACAGTTTATTGTATGATTTTCACTATGGTGAGTTTTACAAAAACCGCGACACGTGTTTCGCTATACAATAGCTTTCTCAAGCATGATCTAAAAGTTACTTCCAAATTACAACCATTTTATACTTTAACCTGAAACGGTCAGGTGTGAATTCATTAAGTAGGTATATTCGAAAGTACCGTTGTGCACCTCTGTACGAGGTTCGATCGAAGTAATTTCATCAAATTAATTTTATAAAAAAGTCTGCATAATAATGTCCCCACTATATATATGGTCTTTAACATTTTATTTTATTTTTTGTTATATGTTCATTCCTTCTTACATAATAAATACTAGAAAAACATACTTTTTTTCGTCAATTGGAAATCTAAAAAAATTAATGTCGACATCACCCTGCCAATTACAGCAACACACAGCACGACACTTGTTTATTTTTCACAAATACAAAACCACTACTTACAACGACTCACTCTGTAATAATATTCCATGCATCAACTTGGCTCGCTTGGTAATTGCATCAGATTCAGTCGGTTGCGCTGTAGGTTTGCTGAGCATAAAATTCGAGGTGGGGAATCTTGACCCAAATATGGCGGAGAGTGAACTTACTTGTGTTACTTCTATATGGTGCTTCTACCATCTGACCTGAAAGATCACTCACCATATAAACTAATCGGCTTCGTCAAGAAGCTGTTTTTTTTTGGTCGTGTTTGAATAAACTCTTGCATATTGCGGTGGAGGGTCGAATAGGCTCACCTACTTTTGACCTAACCTAACAATTTTCTGATTCGGAACAGTGTTCCAAGCTTTTGAGAAGCAGCCTTTACAATTCCAGCGACATGATAGTGCCAAGACATATGGGGGTCCATTTTAACCCGCAACAAACTTATCGAAGCAGAAAGCGGAATTGTGTCCTGACACTATTATAAACGATTCGGAGACATTTATCTTTTTGGCGAAAACCGATGCCTGGGTTTTCGTGGCATGAATTGAACTTGGTTAGTTCCATCCCAATTCGAAATCACCATTAGATTCTCATCTAGATATGCAACATCCTGCTGCCGGTGAAGATGTGCATCCGCAGCCGATGTCCTGGAATTCAAATGAAATGACGAGACAAGTGTGCTGTCGTCAGGAAAGCAATATATTGGATTCGTATTTTTTTCCAATAAGTCGTTAATATACAATAAAGAGAGGGTTGGAGACATAATGAATCCCAGGAGAACACCAGCCTTGATGGTGAAAGTACTCGAAAGAGATATACAGCATCGTCGGCCACTTGTAGGGAACGTTCTTTCAGGAAGCTGGTGAGCCAAACACAAAAATGATCCGACAAGCCATACTCGTATCATCGCTTTTTGGCCAGCAAACCCTCATGCCACACATGGTCGAAAGGAATCGATGAAATGTATCGATTGTGCCGCCGACACTGGTCAACAGATAAGGTCCGATTCTGCTCCGCGACAACGCTCATCCCCACGTTTCACAAATCACCGTTCGAAAATCAAATGAGTTGATCGTCGAAGTTCTTCCTTACCCCACCGTATTCCCCAGGCCTCTTGCAAACCGACTCCCGTCTATTCAAGCACTTCGATAACTTTCTCACTGGTATGCTAACCAGGACCAGTCAAAAACGGCCTTCGTCGACTTCATCGAATCCCGAGCACATTTTCATGCTGATGGAATTAATCAACTTGTGTTACGTTAGCAAAAGTGCACTGATTCAAATGGCCCTTATTTCGATTGAATTGAACTTGAAGTTTCAAGTTCGAAGTTTGAGTTTCAAGTTCAGTTTCAAGTTCACTTGTCATATTCATGTCATCATGTGTTCTACTTGGTAGCTGAAATTGAAGTTTGAGTTTCAAGTTCAGCTATCAAGCAGATCACTTAAATATAGCAAGTGGCATCTTGCCGAAACGTCGTGATAATGGCAAAGACGAACGGATGCACATCGAAGATGACTTTTCAGCATGTGACACCATCCGTGGACTACGCCAGAACCTGTATTTCACAGACTGTAATAATTATAATAAAAGTAATATCCTGAAATTACATTATTTATTGACCATTGATGAGATATCTAAACTCAAAAGTAAATTAATATGTGGCGGATAATATACCTTGCCAACTTGTCAAAAAACATATTAATATTTTGAAGTATCCTCTACTCATTATCTTCAACGCCATACTAAAAAAAGAAGTTTATCCAGAGGAGTGGAAAGTATCACGGATTTGTCCGGTACACAAATCAGGAAATAACTTCTTGAGATTATTTTATTCGATTTGATTTATGCACATGTGAGAAATTCGTTATCAGAATTTCAACATGGCTTCATGAAAATGAAGGGAACTTTATCATTTACTCAATTCATATCCAACTCTTTGGATAATAGAAGTCAAGTTGATGTTATCTCTAGATTTCAGTAAGGCATTCGATAAGGTTTCCCATCAAAAATTAATATCGAAGTTGGATGCATATGGTATTTCCTAACAATACAAAATCTACTAAGATCGTATTTGAATCATCGTAGTCTATATGTCAAGTATGAAAGTGAAAAATCGGATGTATTTTTTGCATAGTCGGGGGTTCCCAAAGATCTAATTCGGGACCGTTATTATTTTTACTTTTTATAGATGACATATGCGCTTCTATACAATCAACAAAGCTAATCTTTGCTGATGATTTAAAACTTTTCAGAGAAATACGAGATTCTTCTGATTGTATGTTGTTTCAGAGGGATTTGAATTCACTCCAAAAGTGGTGTTGTGAGAATAAACTCTTTCTTAATATTGGAAAGTGTAAAATTATGACTATGCTCGCAGTTCAATTATACAATTGATAATATCGACTTACCAAGACTTAATGATACCCTCGACTTAGGAATCTTATTCGATAATAAACTAACATTTAATGTGCACATTGAAAATATTGTTCAGAAACCTTCTAAGTCGTGGGATTTGTTATAAGAAACTGCAAAGAGTTTAGATCATTTAATGTATTCGTTCAGTTTACTATACTTTGGTATGTAGTAAACTAGAGTATTGTAGTTCTGTCTGGAATCCTAATCAAACAAAATACATCGATGCTTTGGAAAGTGTTCAGAAAAAAATCCTCAAGTTTGCGTATTATAAGAAACATGGAAATTATCCGGTTAGAATTTATGAATACACTTGCCTTCTGACCTAATTTAATTTTGTAACATTGAGAAAAAGACGAGAAATTACAGATCTCATTCTCATCTATAAACTGGTCAATGATCCCATTGACTCATCAACTCTACTGTCCCAAATTAATTTTAATGTACCTCGATATACATCCAGATTAAATATCACATTCCGCATTAATGTACTCAATTCTCAGCACAATTTTTACATCCCGTTAACCTCTATGTGCCGAACTGTAATTAATACTCTATAGATTTATTTTTTTCTACCCTGAATCAATTTAGAAATAGTTTATGTATATTAGTCCCTAGCTGAATATCAAAATGTTCACTTATACTTACATTTATCTAGAAATAGTTACCTGCTCTATTATTGTATACTCCTTTTATTGGACCTTGGCCTGTTGGATGTAAATAAATAATAAGAAGACTGCTGACAATTACTTTATAACCTTTTTCATGAAAAGTTTCGAGTTCTCACATAGAAAAACTGAAACTACTTCTGTAGCCAGAATGGAAGCCTTCAACAAAGTCAAAGTTATCTCTTTGTTTACGATTCTTGAGAGTATTTTGGCGGAAGAAGGATTCAAGTTCTGCCAGATCTATAATGAAGATGAGACGGGGTGTTCGACAGTTCCTACAAAAACCCCTTATGTGATTTCTTCAGTGGGAAAGCGCCGATTTATAAAACTTTTTTCTGCTGAAAGAGGCATGAATGTTAGTGATAACTGTTGTTTTAATACTACCGGCTAGTAAGTTACCCTCATTCTTTATTTTTCCAGAAGAAAAGATGCACGATCACTTGATGCAGGGGGCTTCTCTGCTGGTTCATTAGGTATCTGTAATCCAGAATCTAGTTGGATGATTTCTGCGAAATTCCCCAAATGGCTGGAATATTTTGTTGTACACATGAGACTCACAAAGAAATGTCCAATACTGATTCATGGATAACCAAGCATATCACGTGACCTATGAGAGTGTTAAGTTTTGCAGAAGAAATGTTATAATCATGTTCAGTTGTCATCTATCTAGTTTGAAAACAAGAGTTTCCCTTCAAAAGTGTCCAATTTGGCCCACTCTGTACAATAATTTATATGTGACTTATACGTCAACCTACTCGCATATGTCCGCATATGTCACCTACCTTCGGGTAAGATGATGAATTTCTCAAGAACATTATTTTTTATTTTGTAAACAAAACAGTTCAGATTTTTGAATACTATATTAGTATTAGTGTACATTCAATGTCGAGCTGAAATTTTTTTTTCTGTTAATATCGTGAATGATTCTGTGCAGATGCGATACTCTTCTCAGTGTATAATCTCACTCTCTCAAAAAAGAACCATTTCGATCTATTTAATAGTGAGGTCACATTAAATATATTGCCGTAAATAACACTGAATTCAAATTTGAAAATCCTCCCTGAATTAACAGATATATCACACATTATTAATAATGATGATCGTTAAAATGAGTATAATTATTGAACAAAGTAACAACAGATCACTTCCGACCACAAATCCATATAGTTTCACATAAATGAAAAAATTAAGTTCAATAGTCCATAACAATGTCCGCTTTCACAATCGTTTTATATTAGTATCTACAAAAAGATAACTTTCTTGTCAATTTCATGCTTCAGAACAAACCTATGTTTTCTCCGAATCAAATAAGTTTTGCAATTCCTATATAAATACGGAACAAGGAAGTATCTTACAGACAGTTCAGAGAAATTATTATACAAAACTATACAAGATGGCAAGGGTAAGATAATTTTTTTGAAATTGAAGGTTCTGAAAATATTAAGTTTCTGTTTTACAATAGATCCTGTCCCAGATTTTTTTTCTCGTAACTCTGTTTGCGATCACGATATCATACCCACTTAATCATGATTTGGAAGCAGCTGCAACTGGAGATGGTAAGTGATATCAAATATTCCTTCGTTATACAATGAGTCCAAATAGGACATACATTGGCTTACTTTTCACTTGGCTTATTTTTTTGTTAATATATTTGAGAGAAATGTTAAAAATGTATTTACCCAATCAATCGGGTCAAGATAGACTTTTGGCTAAAAATTATCCCATCGTCTCCTTGGATTATATAGAAAATTACTTATCTATTCGTTCATACTTTCCCCTGACTAATGAGACTCGTGAGAGAACTTCTCCTCACAAGAATAGTATATTGTACAAGTACAATTGAGAAAAACGACATATTTCTCACGAGCGCAGGCCGCAAACCAAGCGAGTGAGAAATATTTTCCCACGCATTGCGTCTCACGGTTGCGTTGTTTTCAAGTATTGAAAATTAAAATACATATATAATAATACTTGTATGTCAATAAATCACTTTTATATTTTATTTAAAATAGTAATCAACAGTTATATTTGAATAATTTTGTACAGTCATTCCTGATAGGTCGTTTTGTTTCAACATGTTTTCGGTAATTGAAATATTAGCTGCGGTCGAAGTTGAAGTTGATGGGGAAAGGTACTGAGCTTCCACACCATTGCTGTGTTCAGGTTCTAATGGCGCTGGAGGCTGAATGGAAACTACTATACTTTTTGAAATTTTCATTTTGTTAGCTATGGAGTTGTCGATATATCTAAGATTAAGCAACATTGCTGGATTTCCAACCACCATGGCGTTTTAAAGTATAAAGATCTGCCCCTGCATTTACTAAAATAGTCTTCAGATCACCTTCGGAGACATTGGCCAGTATATAATTCAAGGTTCGGTAATTGCAAAAATTTCGCTATTTCTTTTGCCATGGTGCCAAATTTATTTATCCCCACAGGCTGTTTCGTACATTTGCTGTTTTTGTAGAATTCCCCTGTGACTGTGAAATTTCTAGGAACCTTGGTTTTATTATCGGGTAATTTTATTGAAAGGGCCGAATTAAGATCTTCCATGTCATCGAATTTCGATTTTCGATGCTCAACACAACGGCATGCCCCTGTAAGGCCAATAGCTAAAGCAGCCTGAAATCACAACCAAACATTAATTTTTCGATAACAATTTAAACATTTTCAATTGATACCTTCATCAGCAAATAGTTTTCCTCAGGTGCATCTTTTAAAAATTGTTGAATTTATTCAGAAGTTAATGTTTTTGACTGTTTTTGGAGCATATTTTTCAGATTTGCATTTCAAAAATGCACGTAGTTTTACGTATTTCGATATATCAACACAGTTTTTAATGATTAAGGTACTCCTCAGCATCGAGTACTAAGACCATAATATTGATGATTCCAATCTTCTTGACAACTCTTCAAAATAAACTAACAAGGTATTTTCAGAACAAGAATTTACCTTGGCTTTCATTTTCCAGTCCATAAAGTTTCTGTAAACGATTTCATATTTTTCTCTTGATGTGTTTGGTAGCAAATTATTGCAAACATCTGTTGCTTTCTGAACAATTTCTGGAGGTGTATTTTCCAACTCTAAATGTTCGTATTCCATTAAATTCAATATTTAATAAATCTGAATTGTTTATACTATAACAATCAACAATAAAAATACTTTCGTTGGATAAGTTGACAGCAATAATTATGCAGTGCTTTGGTTTTGTTGTTATGGAAACGCCGACAATGGGCTACTTGGATATTGCACGCGAATCGCCGGCGTAGAGTTGTCAACATGGAGAACGTGTCATATCAATCTGACATGACAATTCGTGACTGACTTGGGTTATCGTGCCAACAGTGAGATATTATTTCTCACTGTAATGGCGGATATTTCTCACTGCGTGAGAAATCTTTCGTTTTGAACGTATGAAAGCGATGAGAGAAGTGGCACATTGTATAGCATCCGTAGAAAAAAAAATTGATTTTACAATCGTCGGGCCATTATAAAACGGTTTTATTTAGCTTGCCATGTTTGTTTGTTTGGGTCAAATCTAGTAGATACCTAATTGAAGTTTGACCCCTTCCTGTTGACAGATTGATCTGATTTTTGGTACATATATTTAGTTTTTATGACAATACAATTCAATGAATTCTGTATGATTGTGAATCCAAGATGGCAGCAGCTACAAAATGGCGGATTGAAAATTGTTTCACAACTACCTCAATATTGGTATTGAATGACAGGTCTTGACTAGTAGAATAGGAGTACACTTTGAAAAATTCATGACGGCCGCAGCTACAAAATGGCGGATTATATATTTTTTCACAACTAACTCAATATGGGTATCAAACGTCAGGGCTTGACTAGTAGAATGGTAGTACATTTTGAAATAGATGCAAATTCAAGATGGCCGCAACTACAAAATGGCGGATTACAAATTACCTTGCAATACTGAGGCACTAAATTAGAGAAGAATTGAGTAACAAAATTCGAAACTAAAACCTTGAAAATAAAATAAGTAGACACGTTTTTTATGTTGAACGGTTTAATTGAAAAGAAAAGATAATAATGATGTAGTTAATGTAATGAAAAATAATTTGGAGGATCCTAGGTAGCAGTCATCACACCGCTCTTCTCAGCATGCTACAGTATTGATCAGATAAAAAAATAATAAAATTGTTGGACGTAGTATTTACATATTTTATCAGGTTACGCTATGCCTTACGATTTTATTATTTTTTATCTGATCAATACCATAGAATGCTGAGTAGAGTGGTGTGATAACTACTAACTAGGACCTTCCAAATTATTCTTTAGTTTTTTGTACATTATCTACATCATTATTATCTTTTTTTCAATAAAACCGTTTAACATATTTTTTTTACTTATTTGGCAGTCTTAGAAATATTAAGAGTATCCACAATCGATACGTTGCGAAGTAACTTGGTTTGGTTAATTGTCAGCTCGTGTTAATAGTTTTATTTTTTTATTTTTTGGTTGTTGCTTGTATGTTATTTCATTGTAATTTCATTTTTTTTTGCTTGATAGAATTGTTATTTTTCAGATAATCTTTTTAAAATTTTTACAGATATTTTCAGGGATTTCAAATCAATTTATATCATATTAGACAAGGGAAGTCCGAACTAATGATATGTCAAAGATTCTTTTGAAATTTTATCAAATAAATAAGTAGGGGACCATCAACCTCCTCTCACTCATTTAAACAATCCATTGATGGAATCACAGAAAATAATTTTTGCTGGAGATAACATATCTCATTTTTTCTCAAAATGAAGAAATATTTCTATAACGACCCCAAATACCTACGGCAAAAAAAGTTTCGTATCATTTCACGAAATAAATTCATGGATATGGCTTTCCATTCAAATGTGACATGTAACAAGAGTTTTCGTCGGATTACGTAATAGATATATAAAATTTTTTTGTAATAGCGTCAGTTTTCTAAATTCATCTCATAACACCCATGATTGCCACAAAAGACATAATTCAAAATATTGTAAAGTTACTGAATCGACCACATTCTTTAAACAATCAAGGAAAAGCCGTAGCTTTGTGAATGATGTTTAATCTTTTATGCAATGTTTGCGGTATTCATCACAGTGATACATCAGTTCATAAGTATTATAATTCTTTGTTTTTCTGATTACGATGAATGTCCATTATGTGGTTAAAAAGTTCAGCATTCTTTCCTTTATGTGCATGTTTCGATTCAGCAATGTTTAGAAGTTTAGCTATAACGTAGCTTTATTGAATTCGGTTTAAAATTCTACGTTCGATGAATCCAATGGATACGTAGTTTTATTTAAAGTAAATCATGATCTTTACATAAGTGCATAAAGTTTTTTTTCCTAAAAGGGCTCAAAATTATCATGTGCTCAAAGTTATATGTACTGGAGAAAATACACTGCATCTATACTTACAACCTTCATTTTTTTCCTCAGGTCACCATGGGAGGGTTCAAATCAAAGTTTACAGAGGACCTACAGAACACAGTGGACATGATTCTTTTGCACCTTGGGGGTATTGGTCGAAGCAACCTGCAGATCATTAGTTATTTATTAGCATTATGTTACAAATTCATTTTATAATAATGAGGGTATATCTATGAGTGAGCGTTTGTTTAGATCCTGCTCAATTTGGAGATAAGATTATATTTATTATTTGTTTTGCTGGAGCTGAGTGATATAAAATAGTAGTTTAAATATATATTTTTTCTTATGTTTTGATCGTTGATTGATATCCTGAGAAAAACTTTCAGTTTTTACCACATTCAAAATAATAATGGTAGCGATCAAAAATCAATCTACATATGTGACTGTGGCATAGTTCACTAACCACAAATAAAAAATGAAATCTGACTCTGTCTTTTTGCCCCTCTTAAACCCAGCTCTGTATTACTTTTAAAAATGGGTCAAAGCTGAACATGCATTTATCGTGTTTGTGAAACGTTCCAACATACACAAAATTTGATCCTTTTTTTTCTTCAATTTTGAAATTGAATATAAGTTTTGTGAACACGATATATTAAAACTATTATTTTCCTAAAACAACCAAATTTACTTACAATAGTTTCTGAAATGATTAATGCACTGATGTACATAAAACTGTTTTATTATTTTGAAAATTGAAAGATTATAGTATACAGGGTGAACCTCCAGGAATTGCATTGATTGATTGTGGGAAAACTATATTTGAAAACAATCTGAAAATTTGACAATACAGTGAAATCGATGGGGGCAACACGGCTAAAATATATTCACAATGGCGGCACTTCCGGTTATACCGGAAGTAGCTGTCAACTTCATTATTTTAAATAAAACACCCTACATATTATTACATTTTTGAATTCTACATCAGAATCTATGCATAATGTCCTATATCTAAGTCTAGACGTTTTTGACATATTTAAGTTTTCATGTCAAAAATGATGTTTGCAGACCCTACAATAATTATCAAATCTTCATCAGTACTGGAGAAAATACACTGCATCTATACTTACAACCTTCATTTTTTTCCTCAGGTCACCATGGGAGGGTTCAAATCAAAGTTTACAGAGGACCTACAGAACACAGTGGACATGATTCTTTTGCACCTTGGGGGTATTGGTCGAAGCAACCTGCAGATCATTAGTTATTTATTAGCATTATGTTACAAATTCATTTTATAATAATGAGGGTATACCTATGAGTGAGCGTCTGTTTAGATCCTGCTCAATTTGGGGATAAAATTATATTTGTTTTGCTGGAGCTGAGTGATATAAAGTAGTATTTAAATATATATTTTTTCTTATGTTTTGATCATTGATTGATATCCTGAGAAAAACTTTCAGTTTTTAACACATTCAAAATAATAATGGTAGCGATCAAAAATCAATCTACATATGTGACTGTGGCATAGTTCACTAACCACAAATAAAAAATGAAATCTGACTATGTATTCTACCAACACGATGGGGCGCCTCCACATAATGGCCATTTTGTCAATAATCAGCTGCAAGATATGTTTTATGATCAATGGATAGCCAACAACGGACCACATCTTTGGCCACCTTGCTCCCCAGATCTGACTCTTCATTCTATTTGAATATTTTCCTTGATAACTAGTTAACTTTTTTGTTCATTTTTCCGCACATTGTCTCTTATGGATCAAAAATTCGTAAGGTTTTGTATAATTTTCTTGACAGTAGTTGGTGATGGTTTCTTTTTTTCGTTGTCGGCACTCTCAAAGGCCAAAAAAAAACCTAGAAATGAACCGACAGCAAACTAGTCCACGTGGAGTGTAGACTTGGCGGTTCGTATTGGCTAATTTTCACTAACCGAGTCATAATATTAAATTTGAAGTCATGTTACGGCGACATCGTGTTCAGTTCAGGAACTGATCGCGATTTGAGTGTTGAAATTCGATATTGGTGCAGTTATAATTACTTAATTTTTTTGTTATCTGTTTAAAGTACTAATAGTAATAACAAGTGTGATAACAACGCAGACTTTTCCAGTGTAGTGATTCCAGCAGCGATGGTGAACAATGCGAAAAAACATACTAGTGAATAAGATTCGGATGCATTTGAATATTGATACACAGAGAGTATGTTTCAATGTATATAAGAATCTACATCTCAAGTTTGGTTTCGAGGGAAACACACTATTGCAATCAACATCAGATTTCACCGAAATTCCTTTCTCAAAAATACGTAAAATAGTCAAAAACAAACCTTATGAACGGAAAACGCGATGTGATACGGAATTACCAAAACCTTAAGATGTTCATCTGATAAAATAATTGAAAAAAATAATATACGACTGTCGAAGCAATGAGATTCCTACAACTGAAATCACAAGGAAGAAATTGAATACTTCCGGCCATAACGTGAGCTGCTGTGACGAACCTCTTCAGAATTGAATAAAGAAACTAGGATTTAGATTTAAGATAATAAACAAACGTCAAGCAGTTATGGAAAGCAGAGGAATGGCGGAATTGCTTAACAAATACTTTGAACAAATAACTGAATATAGACAAGAACAACGACAAATTTTTTATTTGGACGAAACGTGGTGACACTCACGACACGCTTGAGGACTGCAATGTTGACTATCATAAGAACATGGAAGCTGGTTTGAAAACACATTGATCCAAAATTTGGATGCGAATAGTGTAATAGTGACAACGCTTCCTATCATTCGCGACAGCTCATCAAAGTATCGAATAAAAATTCGAGGAAAGAAGAAATACAAAGTTTCTTAATGGAAAACAGTTCGTATTTTGAATATTACTATAGAAAAAAACCAACTACTTGTAGTTTTGCAGCCAAAGATATTTGAAAAAGTGTATGTCCTTGAGAGTATTGCTGAAAAGTATGGACACACCATACTGAGACTTCCCCCCCTATTTTTGTGTTTTCAATCCCATCGAGTTGATTTGGGGAAAATTGAAACAAAGCATCAGGCATAAATTTTTTTTCCAAAATTTGATAAGAAGATAATAGAGCTAATTAAAGAAGAAGTATCTGATATTACCGATGAAGACTGGCAGAAAAGGATTGAAAAAGTAATTTTAGTTGAAAAAGACTATATGGAGATTGGACACTTCCATATTAATGATGGAAATAAATTCATTATTAATTTAAATGACGACAGTGATAGTGAAACAGAAAATATGAAAGAGAAATTATCAGAAGCTTTCGAAGAAAGTTAGTGAAGTGTTTTTGAAGCGATCGATTGTATATACAGGGTGTAACATAAGTACGTTAAAATATTCAATTGGGACATTCCTGAGACAATTTTAAGAAAAAAAGTCTATATGAACTTGTGTCCGAAAATGTTTCGCTTCGGAGATACGGGTTGTTGAAATTGAATTTTTTTTGTTCGCTTTTTGAAAATAACTCTTGCAAAAAATAAGTTATTTGCACGAAATTCGGTACCCGGGGTATTAATTTTAATGTAACATCTAGAGGACGTTGCGTACGCTATCATTATTTATTTCAAATTACCCTAACTTTTTTGACAGTAAACTTTTGGTATTTTTCACGAAAAAACCAATTCCCACACCTTCTCCAAGTAAAAAAGGTACACCTCTTCAACAACGCTGGAGGTGATCGTTTTCGAGATATTTACAATTTTATATATCGATGCATATCGATATTAGCCAAATTTGATTTCAATAATTTTTGTCACTCTCCGCTTGCAAATTAAGTTAATTAAATCGAGTAGGCTATGAAAGTTTGTTTATAAAAATAGAAGTTCGCTGTCACATTTTTAACTATTAATTAATTAAAGTGATTTTTTGGTACCATGCCCGACTTAACAAATGCTGAAATGGCTGATATGGTTTTTGCATACGGTTTGGCTGACGGAAATTCAAGCGAGGCCAGACGCATCTATCAGGATACGTATCCCCAAAGCGTGACTCCTTGTGCAGCGACATTTGCGAATCTTTTTCGGCGACTTTTCGAGTCTGGAAACTTTGAAACAACTTCTGCAGTAGGACGGCCACGGACTACAAGAACTGTAGAATTGGAGGAGGCGGTTCTTGAAGAAATTAATAAACATCCAGAGACAAGTACAAGAAAAATTAGTTAAACTTTAAATGTGAGTCACATGACAGTTTACATAATTTTAAAGAAACAACAATTATATCCTTATCATATTCAGCGTGTCCAGGCACTTATGCTACGTAATTTCCAACTACGTATCGAATTTGCTCAATGGCTTCAAGTCGAACAACATCCGCAAATTTAATCGAAAATCCTCTTCACAGATGAGGCTAATTTTTCAAGAAATAGTATCATGAACTTTTATAACAACCACATCTGGGCGGAAAATAACCCACATGCGATAACGCAAACTCATTTCCAAGACAGATTCTCTTTTAATGTATGGGTAGGCATAATGGGGATTATTTAATTGGGCCCTATTTTCTCCCCTTACGTTTGAATGGAGATGCCTACCTACATTTTTTGGAACACGAGCTTCCCCAACTCATAAAAGATGTTCCCATTGGTCTCCGAAATGACTCTTGGTTTATGCACGATGGAGCTCCTGCTCATTTTACTGTGATAACAAGAAATTTTTTAGACGTAGCATATCCCCAACGATGAATTGGAAGAGCAGGTACTGAGCATTGGCCCCCGAGGTCACTGGACCTCAATCCCGTCGAGTTTTCCTTTTGGGGACACCTAAAATCACTAGTCTATGCTAGCTCCATTGAAAAAGAGGAAATGTTGAGGGATCGCAACATAGCTTGCTGCGAAACGATAAGAAACACTCCGGGCATTTTTCAACGGGTGCGGAATTCTTTAATGAGGAGAGCAGAAGATTGTATTACTGTTGGGAATCGTCACTTTGAACAGTTGTTGTAATTATGAAGATGATCACTTGGTGATCGAAACACGTGTCGAGGTGTTAAAAATAACGATTTGGTGTTGGGAAAAAACTCCAGTGATATTCAGTTATCGCCAGAACAGAGACAGCAATCATACTCGCTGTCAAAAATACTTGTTCCAAGCTTCCTGTTGGCAACCAGGGAGAGTCATAGGCGTGTCGTAGAATAGGGCAAACGGTGTCATGCTACAACATAAGTTTTATTAGTACGTCGGAATTTTATCACTCATGATCTCAAGACTAAGAGTCTTTTATCGTTCAAATACCCGACGAATCATAACAAAAGGTTTTTGCAATTGGAAACATTTTTCCAATATTGGGGAAGGGGATTAACCCACTTTA